TCACATCTCGGCTCCTATTTTTTTGCATTCTTACCCAGAAACTTTTGTTGTTGTTGTTGTTGTTACTTCTCTTCCTGTCTTTTCTTGAGGCTTAAACTACATCGCGGACCCTGAATGCTATTTTTCAGCTGTCACTGAAATTTCTTAACTGCAAAGCAGTTTTAAGTAAGGTTAGTAGGTAAATTTTTAAAAAAACAACTACTGAATATTTTAGATTTAGGATAGGCTATTTGGCATAGAAAAGGAACCGACGGTCCAGCTTTTTTAAAAATGTCTATTGGAATGGGATGGTATTTCTATTTTAATCAATTTCATTTTTTATGTCTTGGTTTCAAAGGGACATTTCTTTTTATCGTCCATTAAAAAAACAACAAAAATCCCCAACATTTCAATATTCCCTCAAACATTTTTGCTTCGTATGAGCGACGACCTCCTATCACTCTGATCAACGCAGACTGTAGGACACTGATTTCGTTTTCTCTCTTCAGTTCTGGCCGCCAAAGCACCAGCAGCAGCAGCAGCAGCGGGCTCTTTAATTTATTGTAGCCAGTTACACTTTCGATCCCATTTCCTTCTGAACCCTTTCCTCTCAGGTTGAGAAGATAAATGCAGCCTCGGGTCTGAAAAGCCGGGCGGGGTTTGTGGGTGGGAGCGAAGCCGGATATCACATTCCCTTGGTGAGGTCTGGTACCGGGGGGGATTAAGTCCCTCGGTTCCATTTAATGAAATTGCTGAGCACTTGTGACACTGGCTCTAAGACTGCGGAAATGGGGCGGGGGTGGGGGAAACGGCCTCTCGCCTCCATTCATCCTCTGTGCCGGCAGGAGGCTGGAGTTGGAGTGTCAGTCCCTAGACAGGGGGCGGAAGAGGACTGAGAGCTCCGGCCGCGGCAAGGGCACCCCGAGGGCTCCTCTCACCTCGCCCACACTCCACCCCGCCCATTCCTTTCCCTTTCCCAAGAACCGCGCCGCCGGGCAAAGCCGCCGCCGCTCCTTGGCTGCTCCGGCGGAAAGGTCGGACTCGGGGACCGATGGGGGAGGGAGCAAAGCCAGGAGGCTTCCTGGCGCGGGCAGTCTGGCCGCGCTGTTCTCCATGCCGCACACGTCGGACCCCTTTCCCACGCTGGCTTGGCTCGGCGGCGGAGTTGGTAGAGATGAGAGTAGGGAGGGCGGGCTGGAGACTACCTCCTGCTCGCAATGAGGAAACCACTCCACTGTGAAGGACGCGCTGCACCCCCCGGTCATCTGGGAAGAAATGTGCAGCGCTGTGGGGAAAAGCCGCCCACTCCTTCACCCCTCGCCAGTGCGCCTGGAGATTGTGTGCCGGAGCGGTGGGCGAATGTTTGAAGATGCGCAGGGGTTTTTTTCAAGTTTATGGTCTGGCGAGGGAAGAGGGAGTGCACAACGTCTCTGCCCACGCGGCTGCCTGAAGTTTGCAAAATCTAAGTACAGGCGGCGAGGGGAGCGTGTGCACTGCACCATATTGCCGCGCATCGGAATGCACGGGCGCGAGGCCGCGGAGTGGAGACGGCTTTCTTTTTTCGCATTGGACCCTGGAAAAAAGGGAATCGGGTGTCTGAGGGAGAGAGGCGTTCTGATGGACCAGAGTTTGCCAAATATACTGCCACTCAGCCGGCCGCAAAGGCGCTGCGGCGTCCGCCCCCGCCCCCAGTCTCCAGACTGCGGCGGTGCGCACTGAGTCTGCGCGCGGGACTTTTCTCGCTGATGCTGCAGATATAGAGCCGAGAGGCTCCGGTGGCGGCGCCGGCGGCGGCGGGGCGTTTGGGGGAAGGCCGGGTTCCCAACCTAGCGTCGGAGGAGGAGCCGCTACCTCCTGAGTGCTGTTGCTTTAGCAGACTGGGAAATACTCGCCAGCTCTCTGGCACGTACCACACACACTTTCATCCCCAGCGCCTCTACGATCCCGCATAAGGAGAGCTTGGAAATCTTGGCTGCCTCTCCCCCCGTTCCTGCTGGCTGCGCCCGCCCAAACAACCGCGCGCTACATCTGCTCGTAGACTTTATTGGTGTTTATCTTGTTTAAATCATTCTGCCTCCTCACACCGGTCTCATAAAGGCTGAGTACCCACTCTGGACAGATTTCTTTTTTTCTTCTTCTTTTCGCTTTAAATTTTCCTTTAAGAGGAGGCCCCTCAGTTTGGGCAGACGAGCTGAGGACCAGGCAAATTCCAGCAGCAGCCCCTTTTCTCTTTTGAGGTGGTAAGAATTCTCCCCAAATAGCTCCTGCCGGTCTCAACCTCCTTAATCCTGGCGAAGCCCCCTTATGTAACAGCCGCTTGATTAAATGGGGAGTAAATGGCTACAGTTCAGAAAACACAACCAGAACTGAGATCTGACGAGGCGGGCTGCGGTGGCCGTGACTGGAAACTGGGGAAGCCTCGCGTGAGGGAATACCATGTACGATCGAGTGGCACAAAGTCAAAAGAAGGAGAGAGAAGGAGCTAGGGACACTTCGGTACACAAAGTTGCCGTTAAAGTTTATTTCCCTTTTATCCAGATAGGTGACGCTACACTTTGCCAGTTACTAAATGCTGCAGGTTTCTGCTCAGAAAATAATATCGAGGCTTCCAACATGTGTTTATTCCCCAGGCGCGCGCACACACCCGGTCTAACCCCGTAAGCAAGCACGACGACAGGAATGCCAAGCATTTAAACAAAGACAGACGCCCCCACCCCCACCCCCAGTCTTCCGAAGTCTCTGCTCCCAAAAAAGGATCCTTCTCCCGCACTCTCTGGAGTTTGATGTTTTCTCTTAACCACTGCAGCTCATCATGGTTTCTCAGAACACCAGCCTGGCTCCCTGGGCGCACGCGGGGTCCCCCAAGCCACCGGTAACCATGCCCTAACCAAGATGCTAAATTGCGGACAGGAGACACCAGGGGGTGGGGAACATGGTCTGAGAAGGGCGAGAAGAAGGAGAAACATTTCCTGACTCGCGCTCCAGCGCTCTCACACACGCACTCGGCAATAGTCAGAGCAGGAGGAAATTTCCCAGCCCCAGGGAGGGAAAGCAAGTGTCCCCCCACCCCACCCCAACCCGGAGAAGACAGCGGCTGCACTCTCTGGGGAGGATGGGGAGCAGGCTTTGGCTTAAGGGGGACTGGTTGGGATTGTGCATACTCGGAGTGGCCTCCGGAGCCGAAGCTGGGCTTTCCGGAGCGCCGCTGCTGACTACTACTCCCTCCTGTCTCCCTCCCCCCGGCCCTCCTCCCTCCCTCTCTGCGAGTGTGTAGTTTCCGCGCCTCGGCTGCTAACGCCGCCGCCGCCGCTACAGCAGCGTCAGGGACAAGCTTGAGCCGCGAGCGAGCCAGCGAGCTCCCAGCAGCAACCACCACTTTGGGCAAACTTGCGGGTTTCCAGCTCGCAGCTAGCGAGCGGGAGCTTCCCACTTGCCATTCAGTGTCTTTGAGCCGCGGCAGCCCAAGGGGCGGCAGGAGCGCCCGCACCAGACTCCCGGACGAGAAAGGGGACGAGACAACTGCGGAATTCAGCCGCCGTGCCAGGGTACTTCCGAGGCAACAACCGACTGGCACTTTTTCTCCCCTTGGCAAACTGGATTTTTTTTTTTTTTTAAGCTACTTGGCAGCTGTGTCTGACTCCACCTCCCCCTCCACCCTCCTCCCCAATGCCTTTGGCTTTTCTTCGGAAATCGGACACAATTGGGCATCTTTGTTAATTGCCGTTGGGGGAGCCCGGCCGGGGGCTTTCGCCAGGCCCCCGTCGCCTGCGCACCGGGCCTGGTTTGCTCACCTTTGAACTGCAAAGGATTCAAGTTCAGCTCGAGTTGCCTGCATTGGGACTAGGAAGAAGGAGAGGGAGCGTGCAGGAGAGAGAGTGGGAGAAGGGGAAAGGGGAAAGGAGAGGAGGGAGGAGAGAAGAGGAGGAGGGAGGAGAGTGAGGGAGGGAGGGGAGGGATCGAGAGAGAACGGGGAGAGAGAGAGGCTGCAATCTCCTCCCTGAATCGCGCACAGCGCTGCAGATCCCAGTGCTCCGACATGCGGGCCGAATGCAGGTGAGGAAAGGCACGGACTCTGCGGCTGCGAACCCAAACTTAGGCACCGCGCGGTGCGCACGGCTCAGCCTTCGCCCCCGCGGGCGAACGGCTGCTGCGGTTTCAGGCGGCGGCTTCGTGACTAATGACCTTGCGCAGAGTTGTTAAGAAAAAAGAGAAACCCGAGCTCTCGTGGGTTAGAAGAGACTGACTCTCTGGGCGTCTCTGAAGATGGCTCGGGCTGCTCTTCGGCGCGCGGGGGGGACCCGGACGCGGACCGCTCTGTGACGCGAGTGGTCTCCACGGCACGGTGCCCGAAGCGACCTGCAGGAGATTTTTCATTCTCGATCTGTTGACTAGCTCCCCCGCTGCCTGAGCAGAGTCGGAGTTGAGACTGGCTTGTTGCTGGCCCCGGCGCCTCGTGCAGGAAGCGACTCACGTTTGCCTGGGCAGCCGGAGCAGAAGCTGGGTCTGGAGTGAGTGGCTGGAACGTGAATTAGACTCAACTCGAGTAGCAGCAAAGACGAGCGGGGTTGGCAGGCGGAGGTGGCTGCAGGCTCGCTCCCCGCCGCTTCCCGGCTCCACCACCCGCCTGCCGGAGCGGTTCCGGCCCCATCCGACAGAGCGGAGACGGGAGCCCGGGATCCTCCGCCCGCTGCGGGGATGACTCTGGGGGGGGCGCCGAGTCCGCGGCGCGCAGTGTCCCGTGAACTGTGAGTACTGCGACTGAACGGCGGCCGGCGAGCGGGCGATTAGCACCCATTGCATGTATTATGAAACAATAACTTTCGGAAGAAGCAGGAGGAAAAAAAAAAAGAAGGATCTGTCGCTGGTTTCCCCTGGTCGACTCTGCACGTTGCTCTTGCTCCCTCCCACCTCTCCCTCTCGCTTCCTTCTTTCCCGGAGAGGGGAGAGGACTGGGAGGAGGGCAGGCGGCCAGCCCCGGAGGAGGGGGGCGCCGAAGGGGCTGTGATTAGAAGGAGCAGTAGCAGCAGCAGCAGGAGAAGATACTGAGGATGCGGACCATGGGATGGGCGCGCGGCTGGTGCCTGGGCTGCTGTCTCCTCTTGCCGCTATCGCTCAGCCTGGCGGCCGCCAAGCAACTCCTCCGGTACCGACTGGCCGAGGAGGGCCCAGCAGACGTCCGCATCGGCAACGTCGCCTCGGACTTAGGCATCGTGACCGGCTCGGGTGAGGTGACTTTCAGCCTTGAGTCGGGCTCCGAGTACCTGAAGATCGACAACCTCACGGGCGAGCTGAGCACGAGCGAGCGGCGCATCGACCGCGAGAAGCTGCCCCAGTGTCAGATGATCTTCGACGAGAACGAGTGCTTCCTGGACTTCGAGGTGTCGGTGATCGGGCCCTCGCAGAGCTGGGTGGATCTGTTCGAGGGTCGGGTCATCGTGCTCGACATCAACGACAACACGCCCACCTTCCCGTCGCCGGTGCTTACGCTCACGGTGGAGGAGAACCGGCCGGTGGGCACTCTGTACCTGCTGCCCACCGCCACAGACCGTGACTTTGGCCGCAACGGCATCGAGCGCTACGAGCTGCTCCAGGAGCCCGGGGGCGGCGGCGGCGGCGGCGGCGGCGAAGG